TTACATCAGTTACGCGTGGAGCCTTAAATTTTGTGGTTCGACATTACTACGTAATCTTATTTTTAAATAATGAGTTATCGTAAATAAGTTACAAATGTAACAAGTCTCCGTACAACACGTTGTGTTATTAATGTTTAAAAACATGTCTGTTCGGGGTCAAAAAGCATATCAAGTAGTGATGTTCAAAACATGTCTGTTTGAGGTCTAAACGCATTTCAACAAATAGTATTGTTATAAAATGTCTGTTTCAGGCCTGAGCGCACTTTAACAAATACTGTTGTAACAAATACGTCTGTTTCAGGTCTGAGCTTATTTCAACAAGTTGTGTTATTAATGTAGAAGAACATGTCTGTTTGGAGTCCAAACGCATTTCAACAAGTTGTGTTAATAATGTAGAAGAACATGACTGTTTGGAGTCCAAACGCATTTCAACAAGTTGTGTTAATAATGTAGAAGAACATGTCTGTTTGGAGTCTGAACACATTTTAACAAGCTGTATTATTAATGAATAAAAACATGTCTGTTTGGGGTATAAACGCATATCAGTAAGTAATGTTGTTAAAAACACGTCTGCGTGAGGTCTAAACGCTTGTTTGTTTTTTTAATTTCGCGCAAAGCTACACGAGGGCTAGCTGCGCTAGCCGTCCCTAATTTAGCAGTGTAAGACTAGAGGGAAGGCAGCTAGTCATCACCACCCACCGCCAACTCTTGGGCTACTCTTTTACCAACGAATAGTGGGATTGACCGCAACATTATTACGCCCCCACGGCTGAAAGGGCGAGCATGTTTGATGTGACGGGGATTCGAACCCGCGCCCTTCAGATTGCGAGTCGAGCGCCCTAACCACCTGGCCATGCTGGGCCTGGTCTAAACGCATTTCAACAAATATTGTTGTTAAAACATGTATGTTTAATGTCTAAACGCACCTGAACAAGAAGTGTTTTTAAAAATATATGTCTTTATGAAGTCTTTTAAAAATGTATATGTAGAAGTATTTGAATAAATAAAGTAACAAAAAAAAAACATTTAAAACATTTTTCAGTTTAGTGCATGATAATCAACAATGTTGACGTATCATTATGTTCATTTATAGAAACCCGAAACCCTGATTCATCAGTGAAGAGTGGTCAGTGGCGTTGCTTCCAATTCTTGTGCTGAGTGGTCAACATCGGGGCTGAAACCTCACTTTGGAATCTGTTACTCTTATTTGACGCCTAATAATTACCCATTTTAATTGCTATCCTAAATGTCATTCTGAGACCATATGAATAGGCTAGCTATTCCTATTGGTCATGTTGTGTAGATCTATGTCATTACATGGTATTGTTTAAATGTAATGTCAAGACTAACTGGTGTATAAACAAGTTGTCCAATGACATATCCACATCTTTCCTTTTACGAACTTGAATACTATACTCCATAATGACTTGCTACTTATCTCTATTTTCTCGGTTTAGTCACATTGGAACAGCAATGATAGAATGTTATTCTCTGAAAAAGTCTCCACAGCTATGATAGTCTGTTCTTCTCTGAAAAATCTCCACAGCTATGCCAGTCTGTTCTTCTCTGAAAAAGCTCCTCAGCTATGCCAGTCTGTATTTCTCCGAAAAACCTTCACAGCTATGACAGTCTGTTTTTCCTTAAAAGCTTCCACAGGTATGGAAAACTGCTCTTCCCCTCAGAAACCTCCACGCCTATGACAGTAAGTTCTTCCCTTAAAATCCTCCACAGCTATGATAGTCTGTTCTTTCTTCAAAAACCTCCACAACTATGACAATCTGTTCCTCCCTCAGAAACCTCACAGCTGTGACAATCTGTTCTTCCTCTGAAAACTTCCACAGCTACGACAATCTGTTCTTCCCTCAGAAACCTCCACAGCTATGACAGTATGCTCTTCCCTCAAAAACCTCACAACTATGACAATCTGTTTCTCCCTCAGAAACCTCACAGCTATGATAATCTGTTCTTTCCTTGAAAACATCCACAGTTATGACAATCTGTTCTTCTCTCTGAAACCTCCACAGTTATGACACTCTGTTCTTCCCTTAAAAAGCTGCACTAGCCACAAAGGGACAATACAATTATGCGGAAACTATCAAAATGTAAGCAACCGCCATAACAGTAAATATTTACATCTAAATATGAAGCTAGAATATATTGTCTTAACGGTATAGGAAGTATGTGTATATCAACAACAGCGTATCGGTTTTTACAATTGCATTAAATTAAGGCGTAATGTTCTAGGTTGTATTGAATAGTTGCCTGTTTAATGTTTTCGGCATCTTGCATTAAATTTTTCACCGTGTTTTGCGCTACTCGGACATATTAAGAAACGTATAAAACAATACAAGGTGTAACACAATATAGAATAAAGGCTAAACAATAAATAGCGATCAGAAATCCTACCTGAATACACACTAAAAGAGTCACGTACCAGCCATGTGGCTGAATGTTAGCAGCTCCTAGAGGAAAAATAGCATACATTACTATCGGCATCACTTCTGAGTAAATTCTATTTCATCAAGTAATTAGGGATTATTACCAAATCCGGTGGGGATGAAAATATAAATATATGATGGAGTGGAAATACATTGCAGACGCTTAATGAAATAAACAAGAGGGACTCTTCAACAGCCGCTGCTCTTGAACTTCTTTTAGGCAGGATTAGATAAAAATTAATATACGAGACCTTTTTTTTTTCCTTTTATTATCTATTACATCAGCAATACCAAGCGTGGGGCGCGCGTATACCCGATTAGGTTTTATAAGTCATCTTTACCTACGTACCCTCAAATTGAAATGATTTTAGGCAGGATTAGAATAAATTAATCGATGAGATTTTAAGCATGATCAAATAATCAATGGAAACAGTTTGACCTCTTGAGT